CCCCTCTTTTGAAGCCAAAGTTTGTGGGGGAACTAATTTCTCTACAAAACCTGCCCTTCTTACTGCCATGGGAGCTCCATCCATGTTACTAGCCTAATGCTAACCACTTCCAGATGGGACAAAAAGAGAAGGCAAGTCCCAAGCACCTCCCCCCTCCACCCTTTTCCCACCGCCACGCTTTCAATCTTTTGTTGAGATATAAAACAAAAGTTGTACTTACAGGAAGATCCGTGAAGGCTATACCTGTGAAAGAGAAAATATTAAAGTCAAGGCAAAGGATTTTCCCTCAGTACCCTAAAACCTAAATTTGCCGTACACGTAGTATAGCAACAAATATGGTGAGCAAATAATTAAATTGGCGTGCAATAAAAGACGTCTCTAATCCATGTTCAGATTTGCGTAAGGTAGTCCTTGACTTACGACCGCAATCTAGCCCAACATTTATGTTAAGTGAGAAATTCATTAAGTGAGTTTTGTCCCATTTTATTACTTTTCTTGTCACATTTGTTAAGTGAATCACTGTAGTTGTTACATTAGTAACATGGTTGTTAAGTGAAACTGGTTTCCCCATTGACTTTGCTTGTCAGAAGGTCGTAAGTATACGAGTCAGTTGCCAAGCATCTGAATTTTAATCATGGGATCATTGGGAAGCTGCAACAAAAGTGTGAAAAATGGTCACAAGTTGCTTTTTTCAGTGCTGTTGTAACTTTGAACAATCACTAAATGAATTATTGTAAGTCAAGGACTACCTGTATGCTTATTGTGAAATCTGTGCCCAGGAAACATATCCATGCTCATCTAGGAACTGATCAGAGTAAATAGGAACAAATTTCTACTTCTTACTCCCATTTTCTGTAAAGCAGTTATTGTAAACTGGCCGGTCACTTAGGCGAGACGGGAGGTGTAGAAATCTGATAAATAAAACTGCAAAACTTTTTAATTGATACAGACCTACACTAATTCTCAATATGTTTAGCTCTTCTGAAGATGAGGCTGAGGATCTGAGCTAGATTTTTTTCAGTGTGGGTTTTTTTGGGGAGGGGTACGCAGGAATAAAATTAAGGCAAAGAAAGGGGGGGAAGTAATTTAAATCATATTAATTCGTGCTTCAGAAGTAGCCTTTTTCAGAGCAATTGCTCTTGGTTTTTTTGTTTTAGTCTGCTGCTTTAAAATAATTTTACGGGAGTTAATTAAGCAACTCACTGCTAGGAGAAGGAACAAAGCAGCACACAACGGAAGTATCCCTGCTGATCCTACAACTGAGTAAATGCACCAAGTGAGTCAAAGGAAAAAGAAGAGGCATTTATACAGATGACTGAACATGTCCAGGTTGTCATTTTTCCAGGAAGTCTCACTCTGGTATATCTCTGCTAACAGAAGGAAGCATAAAGGTGCTGAATGTTGATCTGAACTTTAATCTTAATTTGAAGCAAGGAATGAAAACGCCTGGAGTAATTCCTTCTTCTGCTGCTACTTCAATACCTTCAGACATTATGGGGGGAGGAGAATTTAAAGCCAATTCCCCAATCAGCAGTAGAAATTAGTGTTTCCACTTTAGTGTCTCAACCTTTGTCCTCTAAATTATCTTGCACCAACAGGCTAGGTCTTTACCTCACCTATTGGGAGAAAACCAAAACACATGGAGATCTATGCATTCTCGTTTCATGTAACCAAGGGGGGAAAGGAAAAAAAAAACGGATTCTGCCTGTTTGTAACCTCAATGGTGTAAAGTCAGAATCAAAGGACAGAGTGTGGCAAACATAACCTGGCCCGGTGCAAAGGAAGCAAATGTTTCTGGGCACAAAGATAACAGCCCACCCTTTCCCAGTTGGAGATGTTATTTTTAAAACGTGGCTGCATTCACGCACTCCCTGCTGCAAGGAAAGTGAGCTACCTGCAAGACTATTTGTGCACAGAGCATTTAAACTTCTTATCTGTGGCTTTCTTGTCTCGCTCGCTGGTCACTACGATGACATTGATATTGCAAACAGCAGAAGGGGAACTGGATTTTTCTCCTCCAGTACTTGGTAAAATGCTATGAATATGGACTATGCTTTTATTTATAGGCAGTCCTCGACTTCCAAGAATTCATTAGGGACCGTTCAAAGTTACAACAGCACTGGAAAAAGTGACTTGCGACCGTTTTTCACACTTACAGCCATCGCAGCATCTCTGAGGTCACAGGGTCGAAATTCAGATGCTTGACTGACATTTATGACTGTCCCAGAGTCACGTGACCTCTTTTTGCGACCTTCTGGCAAGCAAAGTCAATGAGGAAGCCAGATTCATTTAACTAACAACTAAGAATTGCTAACTTAACAACTGCAGTGGTTCATTTAACAACTGTAGCAAGGAAGGTTGTAAAATGGACTAAAGTTCACTTATCAACTCTCTCACTTAGTAAGAGAAATTTTCAATTGTGGTTGTAAGTTGAGGACTACCTGTATTAAATTTATAGGCTGCCCATCTCGCTGCCCTGAATGATTTTAGTCTGTCCACACCGGCACAAGAATATATGAATGAGGCTCAGATTATTGGGAAAGAGTTCATTCTATGCCCCCTTTCCTGCTGCAAACGGTTTTCTGAAAGCTTAACACTAAGTGGGATTTACACTACCACATAGGTTTTCTCTCATTGGTGACACAGTTGTTCCACAGCCAAGATAAATCTATCACCACAATAGCAGCAACTGCTTCCACTTTTAGCCAAGCACATCCATTTTAACACAGATAGGAAAGGATGACCAGAAACATACAGACAGGACTGGGATATTTTAAAAAAAGAAGTGCAATGCGGTTGCTAATGGAAATAATTCAGATGCTACAAAAGGATGATATTATCCCCTAAATAATAGCAGATCCTTTTACAAAATAGGCATTGACTTCTGGACTGGCTTTTTCGCACTTTCTCAGTGTAAAAGGACTGCCATTCCCAGACCTCCTTGGGCCAGGCCAGCTGGGACTTCTGAGAATTCCTACCCGAGAATGCCAGGTTGATGAAGACCGTTCTGTACATTTTTTCCTCTCTTTTCTTTGCCCAGAGAGAAAAATCCAGTTATCGCTAAAGAAATTCTGAAGAGCAAAGTTGAAACATCCACATAATGCATGAAGTCAGAGGGCTGAAACATCAGACTATAGATTCCTATATTTAAAACAACAACAACAGCCAGCCAGATACTCCTGAGAACCCCACCAGTTTATCATGAAAATAAGAGTTGTGTCCCAACCGTGTTTCTCAACAAGTGGTTATTGAGGGTACTCTGCCGTTTGAACAGGGACTTTGCTATAATTTTTCAGAGCTGCTTATTATACATTTGTACAGCTGCCTTTCAAAGCAATTTAAATCAAGAGTTTTCCCCCACATCTTGCTGCAGGGAATCCCATAAATGTATCCGGTACTCTGGTAAGTAGCACTTTCACTTACCTATCCCCAATTTACAATAAGCAATTCTAAAGAAATAATAAAATAAAAACAGCAGACGGTTTTCCCGTGCTTTGTGCTAGAGTTATATCCCCCAAAAGCTTGCATAAAGCAAAACACTGAATAGTGGATAAAGGGGAGTTGCAAGGAATGGCTGTCAAATTTTATAACTCAAATGCTTTGACAAATGTACTCATAAATTTTAGAGCCTCAGTTTTAAGTATTACATTACTCAAAGAGGTTTGTTTCTTTATCTCATGTTCTATGAAAGCATTTCTTCTATCTTTTCTACGGCTGTATTTCTAATGCACAGAGCAGACAAAACCAGAATGCATCACAGCACTATGAATATTATTGGCTTTGTTTTGTGCACAGAGGAGATTCTCCCAGGTTAAAATAATATCCCAGGAGGAAAGGTCCTTACTGTATATTCAACTTGTTTCCAGTGTTAGAGGGAACCTCTTCTGTTGGGGAAAGGGGGTGGGATAAGATATTGATGGTTATTTTAACTCCACATGAATGGGAGTAGCTACTGCACATATAGAAGTAAGTGGGAGATGGGCCACACAACTGAAAAAGCAATATAATGTGATGGTAGATGCATGAGAAAGGAGTTCTCATGCTCTTCTCAAGGCTATGTTTTAGGCGCAGTACTCTTCAACATCTTCATCAATGATTTGGATGAGGGGATATAGGGGGAGCTCATCAAATCTGCAGATGACATCAAACTGGCAGGAATAGCCAACGCTCCAGAAGACAGGCTTAAAATACAGGAGGATCTTGACAGACTTGAACCTTGGGTGCTATCTAAAAAAATGAAATTCAATGGTGAAACAAGTAAGAAAAACCAACGCAATATAGGTGATACCTGGCTCAACAGTGATAACTGTGAGAGGGATCTTGGAATCCTAGTGGATAACCACTTAAATATGAGCCAGGACAGTGTGTTGCAGCTGCCAAAAAAGCCAACACAGTTCTAGGCTGCATTATCAGAGGGACAGAATCAAGATCACATGTAATGTTAATAGCACATGATAATGCCTTGGTAAGGCCACGCTTGGAATACTGCATCCAGTTTTGGTCGCCATGGTGTAAAAAGATGTTGAGACTCTAGGAATAGTACGGAGTAGAGCAACAAAGATGATTAGGGGACTGGAGGCTAAAACATATAAAGAAGGGATCCTGGAATTGGGTACGTCTAGTTCAATGAAAAGAAGGACTAGGAGTGACATGATCGCTGCCTTCCAATATCTCAGGGGCTGCCCCAAAGAAGAGGGAGCCAAGCTGTTCTCCAAAGCACCTGAGGGCAGGACAAGAAACAATGGGTGGAAAGGAGAGAAGCAACCTAGAGCTAAGGAGAAATTTCTTGACAGTTAGAACAATTAATCAGTGGAACAACTTGCCACCAGAAGTTGTGAATGCTCCAACACTGGAAGTTTTTAAGAAGAGATTTGTCTGAAATGGTACAGGTTTCCTGTCTGAGCAAGGGGTAGGACTGGCAGACCTCCAAGGTCCCTTCCAACTCTGTTATTATGTTCATTCTGTTCTGACTGTATGATCAAACATGAATGGAATTGAATTTTGATAGAGACCTTATGAATACGTTAACATTTCAAATGAGGTGAGAGAAAACTGGACCAAGTGTTCCTATTTGCTTACCTAAACTGTGCCCATTCTTTGTGTAGAAGCAGGTGTTGTTGATGAGGTTCACGCAGCAGCCGATTACATCGCCAGTAGTGAAAGTGGGGCCATAGGGCTGCCCTGTCCCTGATGAGCAGAAGGAGTGTCCATCATCGCCATGATAGCCATAGGAATGCTTATCCCAACCTAAACAAAAGAAAAAGAATAAACAAAGAGCTCATGAATAGAAAGTGGCATGCTTGACCTCAGGAAGTAAGAGATTCAAAGGTGACATCACTAGGAAATGTCTAGCATTTGCATTAATAATGCAGGAGGATTCTAGTATGTGCAAAACATTCTTCATGGAATGTTCTGACCTCCCCAAGGTTGGACCGTGGCCCTTTTCAAGGTTGAACCACCCCCCAGAGGGATTAGAAATGCTGTTTAGGAGTCAGAATGTTCTGTGAAGATATTTAGAAGGTAATTGTGGGGGAAAGGGATTGTAATAAATAAGCTGTCCTATTCCAAACACAGAGAAGCCAGAAAATGGAGAACTGTTTAATCATGGGAAAAATAAGACTTTAGCAACTAAAACTATGGATTGTTTTTTTTAAAAAAACTGTTACAGGTAGTTCAAGACTTACAACAGTTTGTTTAGTGACCGTTCAAAATTACAGCAGCACTTAAAAAAGTGTTTTTCACACTTACAACCATTGCAACATCTCCATAGTCCAGTGATCAAAATTCAGATGCTTGACAACTGATTCCTATTCATGAAAGTTGCAGTGTCCTAGGATCATATGATCGGGGTTTTTTGTGATGTCTCACTTAGCAGCAGAAATTTTGGGCTCAATAGTGGTCGTAAGTCAAGGACTATATGTATTTCTAGAAATTGCAATATAACCTTCACACCTTCCTCTACAAGATGGCGATATAAACCAGTAAAGAAAGTATTGTTCAGGCTGGGTTTTTTTTTTTGGTTTTTATTCCAAATAAAAATGTAGGAATCTAAATCCTACATTTCCACAAATCTCTTATGCAGCTAGGTTGCCCAAGTGACAGCATGGCTGCCTCTTCTCCATGAATTTGTCTTTTCTGACAGTTCTAATCATAAATCCAACATTAATACAGGATCTGTATTTCAAGGTCTCTGTTAAAGGGAACATGAGGCTTAGAAAGAAAGACAATCCTCTATTCCTTTCATAATCACTTAATAGTACTTAAGAAATTAAGAAGCTACGCTGGCATTCATCTGCTGTACACAGGCAGTCTGAACTAATCAGGAGCCCTTTTCAAGCATATAAAACAATTCAGGTAATTACATGAAAAATTTACTGTGGCTGCAAGCAAACAGAAGGAAAAGACAGACAGCCAAAAAAAAAAAAAGGGGGGGGGGACTAGGTTGATCATTGTCTGATCCCAGCAGTCTGCCATAGGCCAAACCAGTTAAGTATCTACTCCTCTTTCAGAAATCCAAAATATCCTCCTCTAAAGCCTATACAGTATTTTTGAATCTGGGCTAAAGGCCTCTTTGTTTATTCCGAAGTGTCATAGTCACAGGATGAGCTTTTGTGTGGCTTCCACAGATTTATGTTTAGTCACATACTGAAGACATTGTTTTTCTCATTCTCTTTCAACACAAACCAGTTTCCAGTCAAGGAAGTATTTGAAGCATCATATTGCACAATCCACAATCAAGTAATCATGGACTAAATATATGCTGCTGTACCACAAGCAGAATATCCCTGGCTCAGGATAAAAAGTCCTAGCCCCTTGAAGCTAAAAATTATAGGATGTTGCCTAAGGCCAAAAGCTGGACAAATAGAAATTAGATTCAAATGTTTAAGTCCAGATTGATTTAGCCATAGTTAAAATTTATGAAACACACAGAATGAAATCTGGCAATATGGTAGTTCTTTTCCATTTCATAAATACCTAGTTTCTGAGTAGTCCTATAATCATGTTATGCTAGAATTGCTTATTAGCAGGAATGGGTTTTCTTCTCACTGCCGCAAAAGGAACCCCAAAGGTTAAAATATCATGGAGATCAAGCTATATTCATACACCTAGATTTGAGGGCATAAAAATATACAGTATGTGCTCTTGCTTGTGATCTGTCAGGTTGCTCCAATTGCTGTCAACACCCTTATCTGAAAGGACAGTGACACATAACTACTCTAAAGTGCTCCACCTGAAAACAGCTTATATTTAGTTTCAGAATGAAACAGGGACAAGGTGACCTACTTGATCCTTACACACCCAAACTTATAACTAACTATATATTTAGGAATGCTTGTGCATACATCTTACTTTTAAAACAGTGATTTGGGGAATAAACATCCAGATGACAACCTAACATTAGAATCCCCAGCATTTTCCAGATTACCAGTCATCTGCTATGGCTTTCAGTTTCACACCAAGTTTTAAACACAAAACAACAACAACAATTGGATATAGTTTGATATATTAAATTGTAGCTAAAAACTTTAAAGGCAAATGAATGAGCCTGCTTAAGATACCTGCCAGGCCTATTCACAATAGTGACTCTTGCTGTGTTACACCAACAAAAGACTGCAAGGGAAGCCAATTTACTTACCCATCACCATCATCATTATGATCAGTCACTAAACAGGGACTACTATATTACATTATTCAGACAGTCTATCACAGAACCATGAAAAGTATGAGTTTTAATCATGCCAACTTACCATGAACTTTTAAACCCCCAAATTAGATTCTTGTTTAGGCTCCATGGTCAATATACGATAGTACCATACATTTCTATAATCTTCAAAATATTTAGAACAATTCAAAGACAGTATAAAAAGGTTTATATTGCAATATAAAAACACTGCCACTCATCCTTTTTATGTATTATAGTTGTCATTCTAAGTCCACCAATTCACCAACAAAAAACATCCATAAATACTGCTGCTATTGGTGACTAATATTGTTTGCAACCCTGTAATAGCTACATGAAGCAAGATGCCATTCTGAGTTCTACCATACTTACATCAACTTTCCAACATGGTGCCCTCCAGACATGCTGGGTCAGCAACTTACACAATAGACATTATAAAAGAATATAAATTCAGGCTTAGCCACGAATCTCACAGGATGTAATTAGCTAGTCACTAATAAAACTACTTCACAGGCATAACGTATAAACCCACACAAAAGGTGTGCTGGCATATTACCGAACAACATGCCTGTCTCTTAATAATGTTAGGATAAATTTTCCTCCCTACGTGGGGCTGAAGTCATCATTGGTCTCTTTTGTGTAAAGCACATTAGATCAGATCACCAACTGCTTTATTTATGTTTGGAGGATAAGGTTTCCAAATTACAGTAATATATAATTTTGTGGGCTTCCACTCTACCTTCGGATGCAACATACATAATTTTGGATTTCACCCCCAAATAACAGACAAAGTCCGCTGTTTCGAAAGCAAGACAACACTTGGAATTTATGTCATGCAAATGATGTCAATCAGAGATGATGTAAAGTAAGGCAAATAATGTAGCTCGATACAAATGATACCAACCATATAAATTCAAATTTAATAAACATTTGGCTTTAACAGAATCTGTTAAAAACTGAACTTTTACTGTACCCTCTGACCATTTACAGATCTGAACCTCAACAAAGATCACAGGTGCCCAAAACAATAGGTGGAGTATCAGTTTCTCCCATCAGAGTTGCTGGTTGTATATCAACACCTTTTTTCCCGAATCAGCTTAAACAGGCATATAGAACAGTAGCCTTATTTGTGTTTTGCAAACAGATGCATTCATCATCTCCTTTCTAGTGATGTGTTGTCAGGAAGATGTTACTGGAAAAGCCGGATAGCCCAGCGATCTGAACAAAGGAACGGCCATTATCCCAGAATCTGCAACCAAATACGTTTCTCGTAGTCAGCCTCAAAGATATTCAATTCCAGAGACAGCCTCAAAGGCCTGCATAGAGCGCTCGTCACATGTTCACAGGTCTCACCTGATGCTGTCAATTACATGACTTCTTGCAACTAAGCATGTGCAATTTTAGATTAAGAAAGAAGCTGCAATTAAGTACTAATTATTTGCTAGTATGTGAGGCAGATGCCAGGATTTAAAAATAGAGCCACATGGTGAAATATAAGAATCCAAAATTAAGTCATGTGCATAAAAAAGTTAAACAGGTTTAAACAGAACTTATTTTTTTAAAGAAATATCTGAGAAGTGTTGAACTGAACTGCCAGCCTGTTTTGCGAACCTTTTCAACCTTATTTCGGCAATGAAAGTAATAACAGTCATTTCACAACGCTTACAAATGTCAGAAGTTTTCATAATGCCAGATGCCATTCCTGTTGCCAAAGGTTTTCTAATGCTGGGACAAACATCCAAATATGCATCATTTCCGATGGGATGTGCATTTCGCTGAGGAGGCATGATACATGTATTGGCTCAGCCGAGGACTAAATAAATCCCTCTACTCTGAACAGTTTCACTCCCAAATGTTGGAAATGTAAGAGAAAGGCAAAATGAGGGCTGGGCAGATGCCAAACAAGAAACTGCAAGACAGTGAAATCTCCCTGAAAACTTAGGGTAACATTACTTTACCATCTGCTTCCAATTTACAGTGACAAAGCAGCTTGTTCCATGAGACTAAAAGCTGAAGGAGCCAAGAGAAGCAGAAGTTATTTCATTAGCTAAAAAACCCAACAGGTTTTGGATTCTCCAAACAGCTGCTACTAGATCATCATTATTTAAAGCCTTGCCCAACTTAGGCAGTTGTTGAAGAAATGGCATCTCGGTTAGGCAATTTCCCTCTTTATCATACTTTTCCTTGTGTATGGAGATTCTCAGTCATCCAAGTGGCCTCAATGACACTCAGAAAGAGTGCTAACAACCAGATGACCGCAAGGAATATAAATCCTTCCATCCTCAACCATTCAGTCAGAACTGAAGAAGTTTTCTTGGATGAGAAATGAAATGTTTTCAAGGAAAAACAAAATCCAGTTGCCCTTTGGGGGGGAAAAGCACCGTTGGGATATATATTTTTATTTTAGATTGTAAAGCAAGGGGATTATCTTTTCTTAATGATCCTTAAAATGTTTTCAAAGCTTTCTAATTAAAGAAAAGGTTAAAATTATTTGGGGAAAAAAAAGAATAGAGAGAAAAGTTTGTGTTGGCACCAAAACTTTCCATTTTAGAAAAACAGCCAATCCAATAGAACTGCCATCAATAAATAGCACAGACGGGCAGTTCTATAAATATGAGCATCTAGTTTAATCCAAGCATCCTAATTCATTGTGGGAAATCTGGTGACCAAGAGTTGCACCCAATCCTTGAATTCACTTTTCTATAGCACTAGAGCCTTTTTGAATTATCATGACTGAAAACTGTTAGCACTTTTTAGAGCTAAAAGGTCCTAAATATGGACTAGTTGCAGCTATCTAGTGATTGTCCAGACTTTGCAAAAACCCAGACAGCCACTAGATAGCTAAAAATAACCATTGGTCCAAGTTTTTTGTACACCAGACCTGGTAGTTTTATTTTCAAATTGCATCATGTATTTAAATAAACACAAAAAATAGCAAAAGAAAAACAAGAAATCAAATCTACATATATATGAGAGTTCCATCAGTATATTTATGTGCTTTATAAAGTTTTATAATAACAGCTTCAGTAAAGAATGACGATGTTTCATTATAACCGTCCATGCATAACCTATAACTTCAGGAAAATTTTATCACCATTAAAAATCCTCCTATTCCCCACAATCCAATTAAAAATGGAACCTCTCAGCTGTCACACGCCCCCCTGTCCACTTCGCATTATTTCCTCATCTGCTGTGGCCCAAAGAAAATTTTATAAACTAAGAACCTTAAACAAAGGGTTACCCATTCTTGCTCCATCTAAAGAGGGTATAAAATCACAAAAGATTAGCAAAAAGCTGAATATGCAGAAATAAAACCAGCAATGCTGGGGGGGAGGCTGAGGCTGACCTGGGGGTAAAGGCACAGGAACAAAAAATTCAGGAGCAAATGATGAAAGTAAAGAAGAAGAAAAAAAAAAAACTAGAGCTGATTGGCACACTCAGCTTCACCTATTTTGGGGATGAACATCCCAGCCACATGGGCGGCAAAGTAATGAATTTACAAATATAGGATGGGCAGATCATATCTAGCCATAGAAACAAAGCTTTGGTTCAAGTGATTATAGGAAAGCTGTGTTCATTCCTGGTGGCAAAAAATATAAATCAAAAGTTCTAGAGCACCTTTTTCTCCCTAACAAATGATATAAAAGCAGAAGCTTTCATGAACTTTTTCATCAGATGCGCACGGAGTGGCTAGACCAGTTTTTCTCAAAGGAAAGGGAAGAGAGGTTGGTGATGCAGATTACATGCGAGACATGACGAATGCCCTATCAATTAACAATCATAATGTGCCCAAAATCTGCTGTGTTTGCCTGACTGCCTTCCACTCTTTTGATATTTAAGACCTCAAGAATGTTTCACCTGAGGTTGTTGTTAAGCAATCCGTTTGAGGTATCTCCTAAAGAGTTCCTGGGAGGTTGAAATGCTCTGATATCTTCCTGATGCCAAATTTGTTTTTATGCCTTTAAATACAATTGGTTACATTAAGCAAATTATTAAACCAAGCGATGTTTTTTTTAAAAAAAGTCTGCCCGTGGATAACCGTTTTTTTTCTTTCCCTTTCTGGATTGTAGAAATCCAATAAACAGTTCAGGAGCAAACACAAATAATTCTCAGCAGTGACTCACCAGGAAGTCTGTTCATGTTGACACCTTGGGCAGAGAGTCCTATTCCCATGTACCTTCAAACAAACAAAAATCTGTTAGTTTAGCAAATGAAGAGAATTTCCAAACAAAATAACAACAAGGGCTCTTCCCTACTACTAATAGTACAGCCCAAATGGGAGGAAGTTAAACTCATTCCCTCAGTGGAGACTGTCATCTAATTCTCAAAATACATATAACAAGGATAACAACTGTGACCTGTAATCAAGCCACCTTCATGCGCTCAAACTTTTCCCTTCATAGAAAAGCTTATTATCTCTGATACAAAAACGTTACGCCTCACTAAAATATAACAGAAAATATCAAAATTATTTTGATCAACAACTGTAAAATAATGCTGGAGAATTTTCAGAAACAAGATTTGGAGATAATGCAGCTTAAGCCTGTTTGTTTTTATTGTAAGCCTGCTGCTTTGCCCCAAACCAGAATTAACATTCAGGAAAAGGAACGGCAACTCTGATAAAGCAGAGTATACAGACTTCATCGTCAGCTGCATTAGAGATATTTCCTCCTTCCATGACTAAGTAGAGTACATCATCTATGAGAGATAATTCAAAGAAGTTATCTTCTCTTGGCAGGAACAGTTCCTCTTTACAACTGCTTTACAAGGGTTAGGCCATTTTTAATGTTTACAAATTGTAAAAGCCTTTTATGTAACTGAACATGATGGAAATAAATTCAATTGGAATTTTTCTTGACATTATTAAGGTTGTAAGTTTCTGCTCCCAAAGAATCAGAAAGTTTGCACGCTGGCACACAGAAGGTAAACTCATTCAGAACAAACAGGTTTTTCACAAGACGATCTAATCTTCCCATTTAAATATTCTGTTCTGTCTCAGAACGTCAGTCTGGCAAATCCTGTCTTCTTGGGTGCACAAAATGTTCTGATGTTGCTGAATTACAACTCTCAGGTGCCCCAGAGAGCAAGACAAAAGGTTAAGGACACCGCCAAATGAATAAAAATCCTGTTCTTCAGCTCACCTATTTCCATGGTTAGTATGGGATGCTTTCTCTGTGGGATGCTTAATCTGTGGGATGCTTAATCCAATCTATGCACCCTCCAGATGTAATGACTTCAACTCCCAGAATTCTCAGCAACTGTCCATTTGAGGAAGTCTGGAAGTTAAAGCTCGTCCATCTGGAGGGGGTCCCAATTCAGATAGATTGGTTATAAAGGTGTAGATTATTCAAATGCTTCATCATAGGACAAACATGCTAAGGTAAAAGAATTAACCTGCACACGAACTTAATTACTATTACTACAAGTCATACATTCAGAAACACTGACTCATTAAAATTAGGACTTTAGTCGTAGACTAAAAATTTTGGTAGCATCTTGAGGATGGGTGGAAAATAGTATAGAAGTGACATGTTCTAAAGCCAACAAACCCCGAGATTTCTAGTTTAGATTATTTTTTAATTCCAAAAAATAGAAATCACCCCCAATATCTAAAATCATAGCTATATGATCTGATATGGTACACTGCATATTTTTATATCTTCCTATGCCTCACGCTAGTATGTTAACAGGATAATGAAAATTTACCTTCTATTCAATTATTGGAATTCTGTGGATGAGTGAGGTTTTGTACTGCTCTACCATACAGATATGAATTCATATCTTCATTTTTCCAAAAATAAGTGTTTATACCACAAAGCCCAGTTATAAACTGCCAACACTAGAACTCATTCATTTCCAAAGCTGCTGTGGATGTCAAATGAACATTTCACACTTTCTTCTCTTATACAGGTCATTAGAAGCCTACCAGAACTGTGGGTACTATGATAGTGGGGAAAAAAGCATTGCTCACTTAATATGAGAAAAGTTAAAATGCTTTTCAATTAGTATTCAACACCCTCCTCTATCAGAAGCAACACATATGCCACATCATTCTATAAACAAGAGCTGGAGCAACAGATTTTGTAACTCGGAGTAACTCAAGTGAACATTTCTAAAATGTTTATAAACACTGTATGCCAGAGATGACACAGTCAGTCAGACAATTCATGTTGTTTATTGTACAGTGTATTAGCAACTTTCATTCTGTGGGACAGTAGCTCTCATAGAATGAGATCATAATCCATGTAATGAAATTCTACTGTTGTTACAAGTACAAACAAGGCTATGCTATACTACCACAACTATAAGGAGGGAGATTTTCAAGCATCACATTACTTGCAGGAATATTAACCTGTTTTTTTAAAAAAAAATATGTAAAAGCACAGACTACTTAAAGCAGTCTGTCTTTATACAGGCGCCCTCACAAGATTGAAAAATAGAGGTGGTCATTTAAAAAATTATATTAAATTTAATGAGTTGGCTCAATAAAGCAGCCAGAGATTTCTTTCTAGATCACCCAGTAGTCTAGGAGAAGGCATGCTACATTAATAAATATATTCATGAGAAGGCCAAAACATTTCTTCTGAATCATTTTCAAGGCATGAATAGCTCTACTATGTAACAAGTTCATTATTATTTCAACTTCATATGTGAAACTGAGGCAAAACTAGACCAGCTCCATTAAGTAGTCAAATGAATATGGTTAAAAAATAAATTCCTAAAGCAAAATCTGTCAAAGTACCTCTAATACTCTGGAACAGCTGCATTCAAGGGCTGATATCTATGATTGTGTAATTATGCACCTAAGCTTCATAGCATTCTGAAGATACAAGAATTCATAATTCTTGTCTTTAAAACCAGACACATCACATATAAGAATAATGCACCAAAAACCATAAATATCCATTCCACAATTTAAGTAGGCAAGCACTGGGAATTTTAAAAATGCAATCTCTATTAAATGTTATGCAGTCAACAAACCTGAATAAACCATCACTATGGTATCTATTAGCTCATTCAAATTAGAAAGTATAGTCATATAGCTTTGCTCTGGCTATCAATTACAGAAATTCAGCCTTCCAGAAACCCTCAGGAACATATGCAGACTGAACTGATAATCCGTTCTCAGGAAGCTCTTTCTATACTCTCTTCTTCAGCTCACTGTTCATTTTTCTTGCCTTTGACACTTTTTAGCTCTTGCTACATATGCCAAAATTTGTTGGCTTTTATTTGTCCTAAACGTTATCTGGTATTTGTAACATATAATTTTTAAAGACAAACAATAGTCCATTTTAAGATGACAGCCTTTCAATTGTCAAAAGACAGAGACGCTTTGATAACTGAAAGAATAAACATAAATAGTACACTAATTACTTTTCTAAATTAGCTCTCATTTATGATAAATCCTAATTGGACTTTAGAATGTCTTTGATTATACAGACTGAATGAATCAAGTGTTCACACAGAGGGCTAGAAATAAGCAGCATCAGAATCACTAATAAATCAAGTTTCATTTTTCAATCTCATAAATAATTGCTACCTTTTATTATATCTTTTTACTAGCCTTGCATGCCACTTTAATCATAACTTGACTCTGTGAAGCTTATGCGTCTATAAAATAAGTTTAAAATATCCACTAAAATGATAGACGAAACAATTCATGACTTTATGCCAGGTAACAAACAAACAAAATTCAATTTCAAACATAATTTCAAGGCTGACTATTTCATAACACATTTGTCTCAAAGCTTGCTGGAAAAGCCAGTTCGTTTTAAAAATCCCACTTAGGTTTAGATTTCAGAGGATTATCGTTAGAAAGAAGGGAGCAGCGATTGAAAAAGTCTACCTTTGAGATCCCACAAGGTGATATATCCCGAGTGAAAGGACTGGAGGGAGCCTCTTGCCCCTCATCTTATCAGAATCTCTTCTGTGACCAGATGTTCACATAGATGATTAAACTGGGCATCATTAGGATACAACTGATATCACATCCTATGTCACTGGATCACATGCCCGGTATTTTCTTATAGAAGTTGAGCAAGAGTGGGGACATACAGCAGCAGCCCCCCCCCCCAACTCCTGGGCCCCAGCCCACTACCAGGCCATGGCCTATTCGGAATTGGGCCGCATGAATGGCTGGTTGGAGCATGCGTACACACACAGCTCAAGTGAAGCTGCGTGTGTGCACACCTGCCTGCCACTTTTGCAAGGGGTGCACACTGGCCCATCGCTTGTGTGACCCAGTTCCCCTCTACCACCCCATCCCCAAGCCAGGCCAAGCCCAAAAATTGGAGACCACTGGCCTAGGGCACAACTTCTCCCCTCCTAATATACCACCAGAAATTGCTCCTTCAGGAAGGAGAACTGTTATAATGAAAGCTCCCTACTTCCACTACTAAGAAATACTTCTGAAGGATACCGTGGCTGTTGGCGTGGAAAACCAGTAACTTAAGCAGAACCAGGGGGATCACGCTCCCTCCATCTTGATCTCATTTTAAAGGTCATCCACGAGCATCACCAATGGAGTCTTGGTCCGACACCTTCTTTGCAGCATTCAACCAAAAGGGGAGACTAGAGATAATTGTCTAACTGCAGTGCCAACTGATGGTTTGAGAAAGCACAATACTGCCTTCTTTAGGGGAGGGGGTACTATCCCCTCATTTAAGGGTGTCTTTACCATTGCTCTAGCCCAGCCTTCTGTCACCTCCCTAGAGATTGTCACCAACCAGGAAGAGAGAGGGGTCCAGGTGACAAGTTGTTGAGCTGCTGTCATACGTTACCCTGTCGCACCTCAAGAGGAACTGGTACAAACTTATCCCAGATAAAGCTGTGAGATAGATTCAATCACACCCACAGAACTTGCCTTCCTGGCATCAGTTCTGAGCAAATTTGAGTGATCTTATCTTCCAGCTCCTCAAAAATTCTCAGAGGGCCCTATAATGTTCTAGACCATCCTTCCCTCAAAGGTGACAATCAGATAATGGGGTAACAGCAAATAAATAACAATGATTGGCTGTTTTTATCAGCATAAGAAAGTTCTTACCTATATTTGCTTGGATTCACTTTCTGCTTTTTTGCCAGTAGCACTCTAGGCATATCCTTTGCCCCTTCCTCTACTGGACTTCCTTAGTGAACCAAAGGACTTCCCTGGACTGATGAGCAGAGAAAGGCTGCACAGGTGCAATCCTAACCCTCAGGATAGAGGATTAGGAATGCTCTTCTGAAATCTAGTGGCTCCATTAGGCCCCTGGGGCAGATTGACTAATTAGCAAATGGGATTGAAAATAAAATATGGAATAAAATACTAGAGCAGGGTTTTCAATCTTGGCAACTTCAAGCTTCGTATTCTAAAATTCCCCAGCCAGTAGGCTGGCTAGGACATTATGGAAATTGGAAGTCACGCTTCTTAAAGTTGTCAAGATTGAGAAACACTGGACTAGAGAGCCAGGTTCAATCCATCTACAGCCAGGGTATGTGGACCAGTTGCTCTTTCTCTAACCAACATACCTCAAAATGTGTTATTGTGACTATTCCCATGTAAGCTACTTTGAGATTCTGGAGGAAAGCCAGTGTAAATCTAGTACAAATATTTCTCAATATTTTCTAATCTGACCATTACATCATTCCTGACCACTGAGCTACCAGTATGATGCATTTATTTTCTGATAGGTACAAAATTTTAAAACTGGCTTTGCAGAACAATCTTCATATCACCATGGGTCATAAACCAACTGTGCAGCAATCATGGGCCCAGTAAGGGAATGCATTAACCTAATTAATAATTCCTTATAACCATTCTGGGAATTGTATAATGAATTAAATTTGGCCCCTTTGGCAGCATTTAAAGCACAGAAGTACCACTGCTAATTTAGAATCTGCTATCATTACCCTTGAATTTTCAAACTTATATAGTTATTTTATACATCCATCAAAATTAACTAGCCCAAACCCCTTATATATTAGAAAAAGCACAGTACTCAAAACTGGATGGTATTTGCTGGAAATACAATACAACAATGCCTCATTCCAATCTGTTTTTTTAACCACAAATCTATTCTGGGCACCACGAATAGTTTTTAAAAAATGTGTTTATTATTCAGAGTAAAAGCATACTCTCTGTCCAGGTACTAAAGGCTCCATTCATGAAGATGGTAATTGAAGCTATCAGAAGCATCCTGACACGCTGTGTCAATATGCCCTGAGCTTCCCACTTCCTGATTTAGCAAAAAAGTTATAATCTTAGTAAAAAGGTTACTTTAAAAAAAAAAGTATGTAGAAGCAATATTGAAATGTCTCTCTACATCAACAAAAAGGTACAGAAAAACTGGATTTGGGCTAAACTTTACACAAGCGTATGAAACACAGTATCAAGACAATTACGAGCAACTCCTTCCAGACATAACAAAGGTGATCAGAAACAAATGTAAATGTTCATAGCCGTTTCTATTTCTTCTCCAAACACAAACAATTGAAACTATATAGTTTCTTAAAGTCCCTGTAGCAATTCAGCAGTGCCTATAATAAGTAGATACCCAAGAATAATCAATCCAATTCCTCACTGTAATAACTGGGGCAAAGATGCATATAAAAACACTGATGTGCACTGCAGTCAGGAGACATGCATCCGATCTTTCCACCCTTGTGATTTGCAATATCTTGCTGGCCATGTATCATTGATCTCATCATTAACATTACAACACCCAAACTCTTTAAAGCAAGACAATTTAGTTTGATTTTACATTATGAACATACTTTTCTCCCCCTTCCCAAACTGGACTGTTTGTCATTCTACAGGAACAATTTTTGGTTGATCAAGTAATCAAATTTGCTTAAAGCATGGCTTAGTGTTTGGCTTAGCATTCAAGTTTGTTATCAACACATTATATTTCAAAGACTAAAATCAACCTGTTTTATACCAGGGTTCCCAAAAGAAATGTAATCTGTCAAATTTCCAGAGTACAGGTAGTCTTTGACATAGGACCACAATTGAGCCCAAAACTTAAGTGAAACATTTGTTAAGGGAGTCTTGCTCCATTTTACAAGCTTTCTTGCCATAGTTGTTAAATGAATCATTGCAGTTGATAACTTGGTAACTTGGTTGTTAAGTAAATTTGGTTTACCCACTGACTTTGCTTGTCGGAAGGATCTCATGACTTTGGGACACAGCAATGTTCATAAGTATGAATCAATTACCAAACATCTGAATTTTGATCACATGACCATGGGGATACTTCAAAGGTCGTAACTGTGAAAAATGGTCATGTCACTTTTTTCAGTGCTGTTTGATGTTTGAACAGTCACTAAATGAACTGTTGTAAGTCAAGAACTACCTGTATTAGCCATTAGCTCCAAACTTAGTGTAAAATAGTAGCAATAAAGATAACTAGACTAGGCCAGAGCCAGAATAATTGAACCTACAATAGGAAATATACTGAAAATTATCTTATGCAAGTTCCGATTTTTTTTGAGGGATCAACAATTCAATCAGCTCAATGTTGTGATCTAGATCAATTATCTCATGTCAGAGAATTACCCATTGTAAGTACCCATTTCTTTACAAATCATTTTATATAGGAGGGAAAGGAGTCCCTGCTGATTTTATACTCCACTCATCTGATTCAAAGCTGTGAACCAGCACTGTATGAGGATCTTTCTGTGGTCATCTGGTCAACATGTAGGAATATGTAAAATAATTTGGTAGCCAGGAAATAATTCTAGTTAAACAGCTATAGGAAGGGATTTCCACTACTTTCTTTGCAGTAACTGTTATATATAGTATATTGGATTTCAGATTTAATCCATCAAAAAGCCGCATAGGAATTTTAAGAGGTAAACATAATTACCTAGAACATAATTACCTAGAACAGTCATCTTAGTTTATATCACTGGTTTGGTATTTGATAGCAGGAAGTCAAACCAGTTTTTAAAAATCTGAACTGGAGTTGAACTTGATTCACAGCTTCATCCTCCCTCTAATGAACCAGAACCCAACCCCCCTAAAATGATCTCAACTCCTTGTTTTGAAAGGCTGCTGGTGCAACGTCCTACTACAAAGGCATGAATCACTCATCCTTTCCCAAAGCCACAAGTCACATTCCTACCAAATGTAAGTACAGATGGTAAAGTCAGCTCCAATTCTTGCCAAAGACAACAAACAGAATATGCATTGAGCCACATACTTACCCATCTCTTCCTTTACTAACTATCTTCACTTCAAAATAATAAATTCCACAGGCTGCAGGGATGGGGTGGGTAGCCCTGACAGAAGCAGCATCCTTGTGATTTTTCCCATGTCCTGGTTTAAACAAAGAAAGAGGCAGAAAACAGGTCAAAAACCTCTTTAATTCTTCAGTGAAAACAATCAGGCAGCAAGGCTTTTCAAAAGCCAGCCAGCCAAGCCCACAACTGAATACACCCCCGTACAGATAAAACAGATGTTCCAACAAATACATTAAAAAAGGACAGGGCACTAGAAACACATAGATGATCTCCTGTTATTGTCCCAGACAGAGAGACTCACAGCCCATCCTTTAGGGTAAAATTATACTTTGGGGCAGTGTTTCTCAACCACGGCAGAGGGTTTTGTCCATCTTCAACCTGTCAAGATTGAGAAATATTGCCCCAAAGGATACTTTACTTCAAAGGTTGGGCTTTGGATCTCCCCCCCTCTCTCTGGGACCATCCAAGAACACCTGTGTGCTTCTGTTGCTCTGCCCTAGAAGACTTCAAATCCCAGAATTATCCAGCCACAAAATTCAGGGGTTTTGGAAGCCCACCTTTTTTTCATAACGCCTCCCCTCCCCCGCCACCTTCTTGGCTCCCTCAGGCGAAAGCCCCGCCATTTCCGCCCCCCCCTCAGGCAGAGAAACGGGGCCTTCTTCCCCCACCTTTGTAGTGAACACGGAGGTTGCCCTGGGAGAGGCCGATGTAGCTATACTTGTCCTTGGGGCTCCAGGCGCGCGGCAGCGGCGCCTCGGCCGGGTTGACGGCCGGGTAGAGCTGGCGGAGGCGCTGGCTCAGCTCTTGCTCCTCCGGCGGCGGGGGAGGCGGCGGGGGAGGAGGCGGCGGCGGCGGCAGCGCCGAGTCTCCCCCAGGTAAGCTCGCTGCACCCGCATCCGCCATCTTGGATCCACTATGGTGTCAGCGGGAGGGGAGCGGGCTCCCTTTCCTCGGCCGTCCAATGGGAGGCGGGCTCGGCCACAATGGAGGCGCGCGGCATGACGGGAAAGAGAGTCCCGCTCTGCCCTCAAGCCGGGCTAGCTCGAGCGAAGCGGAGACTACAGCTCCCGAGAAAGGCCGCGCGAGGGAGGGCCCCGCCCAGTCAGCTGCGTCGCAAAGGACGTCGGGATAGCGAGTACCAGACGGCATATAGAAAAAGGCTTAGGAGCTTTCAAAGCCAGCGCTGGAATGTCCGGGGTGAATTCCTCTTTAAGCAAATAAATCACGCATGAGATGAAAAAGCGGGTCGGGGGAAGATCCTGTGGCTTTGAAGTTACAGGGTTTCCCGTGTGAGCACGGGGTTGGACTAGAAGACCTCGAAGGTTCCTACCGATCCTATTATTCTATGTTCTAACTAAAGAAAAGCAAACACACACACAACCCCATCGCACAATTAGCTGCGAATCAGCTGTGACGAGAGAAACAAGCTAGCGAGATGCGTCTCTATGCAGTCTCGAAGACTATTGTTTACCCTGCCCCGTCCTTTGCAACATGAACATTTCCCTCCCCCCCACCCCAAACACACATGCTTTCTATGAAAGGCCTGTTTAAACGGCCTCTCCCTCCTTGCAAAGCTGCATTTGCAGACGCACGAATGTAAGAAATGTAAGAAAATTGGAGAATCCGGTGGTTTTGCAAGTTGCGTGCATTAGCCTGGAAACCTTTCCTCGAAACACGGCCAGTTAAGGTTCCTTGCCCCCCCCCTTTTTTCCCCCCCGCGCAAGCATCCCAAGCCCCCTCTCGCTGAAAAACAGGCCCCCGGGTGAATAACTGCCCCGCGCGCTACCGCGGGACGCCACTAGAGGGCGCGGCAGCCTCGCTCAAAGCGTCCAGGGGCGGAGCCTGTTGCCGTGGCGACCTCTCCGTCAACAGCCTCCGCGGCTGTTCCCGTCTCCGCGGCCATGGAGGCCCGCCCCTCCGTTTTTATCGGGTGAGTCCGCTTCGGAACGGCGCTTGAAGTGAGGAAAGTAGGCAATTATAGGCCTCCGTCCGGGTTGGGAAGCTTGTCACGCCGAAGAGGCGGGTTTCCTTCAGCGGTCGGTCCTTGCAGGCCTTGGCTTTGTAAGCGCTGTGATGAACCTGACGGCGACGCTGAACTACAACTCCCAACAGTCCGAGTCTGGGAAAGGCGGGAAGCCGCCTTTTTATGCCTCCAGCCAGCCAGGATGGGTTATGCGAGCCCCGCCCCTACGGTGACCTCACTGCGCAAGCGCCTCCTTCCTCGACGTCTCTGCATGGGCCGCCTCGTGGGCGGGGCCGCCGCAGGTATCACGTCCCTGATTGGCTGTCGGAAAAAGTCGCCCCGCCCACCTAGTTGGTCTGATTTCTGCGGGTAATTCGAATTGCAGGTAGTGGAGATGCCTGATTACAGATTAACAGAGTTGGAAGGGATCTTGTAGGTCATCTAGTCCAACCCCTCTCCCAAGCAGGAGACCCTACACCATTTTCTGACAAATGGCAGTCCAGTCTCTTCTTAAGAGTGGATGGGCTGCTACCGGTTGCTGATGGTCGGGTTTTTTTTGGGGGGGGGGGATAATTAAAGAGCCCTTCTTTGCAAATGTTGGCATTGTTGAATTGGAGCTTTTAAAAATAAAGTCCCTGGGGAAATTAACCTATGTGCCTCTCTCTCTTAATATTCTAGGTCTGGCAATCTAGAAGCTGATAAAAGGTAACTGCAATGAATTCTATATTTACACTCTTAATTTCCATAATTATCAAAGTATAACCGTTGACTGCGTGGATTGGTGACAATGGGAGTGGTTGCCTAGCTCATTCGGAGATTCAGGTGCAGAAAAGCAATCTTAGGAATGGATTTCAAACCTCTTAAAACCGTTTCTGCTGCAACATAGACAGGCCGTTGAATTGAACCTGCTAACATCTGTTCTAGTCTGTAAAAAATCAGCACTTGGGAAAAACCTTTTTCTTGTAAATATATATATATAAAAGCAACTTTAATGGAAATTGAATTGTATACATTTTCCTGTGTATAAACTATTTGCATGTTAAGGCCTTGTGTCAATATAAGAAAAAAAAATAAGGAAATTTATATTTTTTTAAAAACCTGCCAATATGGGTAAGAAGGATTGTATGAAAGGCAGTTCATGTTGCTAAGCACAGAAACCTGTGTCCATCAGCTCGGTTGGTTAGAGAATATTGGAAATTAAAAAGGCATGTCAGCTACAGTGGGGATAAACTTGGGTCACCTTGTACAGGTAGTCCTCGACTTATGACTACAATAGAGTCCAAAATTTCTACTCCTAAGCGAGATAGTTGTTAAATGAATTTTGCCCCATTTTATGATCTGCCTTGCCACGTTTGTTAAGTGAATCAGTGCTTTGTTAAGTTTGCTAAATGAATCTGGCTTCCCCATTGACTTTGCTTGTCAGAAGGTCACAAAAGATGATCACATGACCCCGGGATGCATCATAAATATGAATCACTTGCCAAGCGGCTGAATTTTGAGAAATGGTCGAAGTGTGAAAAACGGTCGTAAGTCACTTTTCCAGTGACGTAACTTTGAACAGTCATGAAATAAACCAGGGGTGTCCAACCTTGGCAACTTTAAGACTTGTGGACTTCAACTCCCAGAGTTCCTCAGCCAGCAAAGCTGGCTGAGGAACTCTGGGAGTTGAAGTCCACAAGTCTTAAAGTTG